AACAGAATGAAACTAAAATCCAAACCTGGGTGATACCATCCTTGTTGGGGCTGGCAATTGGCAGGAGCAGACCGTGATGTTTAGAGCAGCTGGAAAAGGACAGCTCAAGAAGCTGGGAGTGCATTTCAGTGTCTCTTCCCTGGACAAATGTGGAGGCTGCTACATCATTGATCAGCTGCACACAGGTTCCTTGTGACTCTTGAAACCAGGTCAGTCTGATACCCCTTCCCTTTCTCTTAAACTTAAAAAATTATCCACGTGACAAATATGTCAGTGGAGATTGTTTTTTTCTGTGCTCTGTCCGCACTGAAGACAAATATATATCTGAGACATTGGATAATAGAGAAAAGCAGAATAGTGTCTGTAGGGTCTCATGCTTAAGAAATTAGGAGACACACTCTGGGCCAGGCTGCTATTTGCAGGGCAAGGAAGAAAGCTCCTTGCCGAGGCTCCAGCTCCCAACTCAGCAGTGGCCTTGGTTGCTCTCATTCACCCCTGTGCTCTCTGCTTCTTGTCTGCTCCCTCTGCCGGGTGCACTTTTCATTTGGAGCCGTGTCCTGCTACAGCCCGTGCTGGCCATGCCGGCCCTGCGGCCCCACCCCGCTGGCCAAGAGCTGCAATGAGCCCTGTGCCAGGCAGTGCCAGGACTCCACCGTCGGCACTGAGCCCTCCCCCGTGCTGGTCACCCTGCCCAGCCCCATGCTCAGCTCCTTCCCACAGAACACCGGGCTGGGATCCTCCACCCCGGCTGCTATTGGCAGCATCCTCAGCTGTGACTGAGTGCCCATCAGCTCTGGGGACTGTGACCCGGCTGGCATTTCCAGGTGCTGCTATGGCACAAGGTCCCTGCCCTGAAGCAGATGCTGGGAAAGCCCCATGGGGACAACTCAGGTTCCTCAGAACAAGGTGCTGGGCAAAGGATGGACATTTCTCAGTGTTGGTCCCAGGACAGCTGCAAGGCTTTGCCTTTCCCTTTTCTTTGTTTGCTTTGTCTCCCCTTGGCAGTGCGGTGCCAGCAAGGGCAGCCTGGTGGGGCCCATCAGTCTCGTCTCCCTGTCTGGGGCAGGTAGACAGGCACCGTGTGGGAACCTCTGCACTGCCAAGGAGGACAGACTCTCAGATGGCCCCTGGGAGATGTGGTGGCTGGAGGTTGTGTTGGGCACAACAACTATGAAATGACAGGGTTTTCAATATTCTGTAAAGGAAGGGAAATCAATACAATCTCTACTCAGGACTTCCAGAGGGTGAACTTCGGCCTGTTTTAAGAGACCATCTGAAGACCCTCACTCATTTGTCTGCTGATTGCCATGACAAGGAGAAACCCCCCCACTGCAGTTATGGCTTGGAGAAGGCAACAGTGCCGGTGCAGCCACTGCACCCTAATGCCAGCTGTTCCGAACCAGGCATGGCAAGAACTTGGAAAGGACTTGGTGACGACCCAGCAGGAACCAGCACGGGCATCCTGCTACAATTCCTGCTTCAGTCTCCACCTTTAAGCCAAATGAACTCTTGGGGTGAGTCTGGTGGTCTTTCACTGAACACCCCTCATCTGCCTCATTACCACTGTGACAGACAAAGATCAAGAACCCTCTCCCCAAGGACTGAGACTGAGACCCCTCCCACAGGGAGTGAGGGGGAGAATGACATGACCTGTTCTTCTCCAGTAACTTCAATGGACTTATTCTTCATTGTGTTCATCTTGCCTGGATAGTTTTCAGTAGATGCAGCTGTCCACCCCACAGCAATTTCAATAGATTCTCATTGTTCTGCGTGTTCCCCCCTTTTCCCCTCTGTGGACTATAACCGGGCCCCTGGGTTGGGTAGGACTTTGGAGACTCCCCCAAACACAACAAGTCAGATCCCCATTGTCCGGATCAGTGAGGATCTCATCTCACCTGTGTTGGTGGTTATTCCTATGCCCCTTTCTCTCTCTCTCTCTCTCTCTCTCTCTCTCTCTCTCTTATTTTTATTTATTTTCTGACTCCACTATCGCATTTATTATCTTGGCCCCTAATAAATGTGCATTTGTTGTCATTAAACTGATAGTCCCCTGCTGTTTGTCTTTTGCACTTTGGGATCGGCTAAAGAACCATCACGACACCGCGCTATAAGCGGACCGTGACAGAATGTCGGTGACTGCAAGCTGGAGCTGCCGTTGTCATTGTCAGTGCTGGTGTCAATGCTGGAGTCGGTGCCGGTGCTGATGTCGGTGCCGGTGCCAGTGCCATTACGGGCCTCGGAGCCATTGCCGGTACCGGCGGCGGCAGCGCCCCGGAATCCCGGGCCGAGCAGAGGAGTGCCCGGCCGCAGCCCCGGCTCCTCTGCCCGTGGCCCAGCGCGCAGTAATACACGGCCGCGTCCCCGCGCCGGGGCCAGCCGAGCCGCAGCGCG